TTACATAAGAACTTGTTTGAAATGAAAATTATTGGACCCCACCTGAAACTACTGAATCAGAAATTCCGTAGTTAGGTCTCAAGAATCTGTGTTTAACAAGTCATCCAAGTGATTCTGATGCATGGTTTGAGAACCCCTGGTACGGAGTACAAGTTTTGGAGATAAGGCCAAATGGAAAGATTGGGACCAGGCTGTGGAAGGAATTGTGGAAGCTAAACTAGGCTGGTCTTTACCATAGACAACTGTGTAGAGTAGTGATCAGGATGTAATTGTCTCATGTGGGGAGACAGCTGATCAGTGTAGACATAGGTCAGTCTCCTACTTACTCTTTTTATGTTTGAAATGTTTCTGTAACTTAATATTCTTTCTTTAATAAACTTCATCTGTGCATTAACTTTATTGTATTACTGTAAAATTGCAGCTTTGTAATACATCTTTGCTCTTTTAATTTGAAGTTGGTAAAATTCTGAGATATTACTGATAATAATATTCACCTTAATGAGTTAACTTTTTGGATAAGTAATCTAATATTTCTGTCCTTGAAATTAAAAAAGTATTATTTTCATTGAATTATAATCTAATTTTTCCACATTTCTCTGTAAGCTGCATTCTTTTGTGGTTTGGAATGTTTCATCATGTGTTTTCCCTCCAGAAATGGGCTTCTTCAAGGGGCTCCTAAAAGGACATTGTCAAGAAAATATCCATATAAATTTTATTAGCTTTTTTGGAATTCACACATGGAATGTAATCCAATTTGTATTTCAGTATACAATAGTCAAAGTCCACACTCTCCAATGACAGAATAAAGGGCACTAATGAGACACTGGATGGTTCCTGAGATAGGACAATAAAACATCTGCTTTCCCAAATGGAGAGCCTTGAAATTAATGTGTGCATATTTTTCAGTATATTTTGGCTACCACTTTAGGAAGCATCAAGTGGCTTTTACTGTGAATCATTCTCCCACCCTATCTCCCCATTCCTTACCTCCCGTAGGGAGTTAAAAACAAGAATGTCAGGGTAACACACCAATCCTGTTTTGTTGACTGTGCTGTATAAAGTGTGAGGGCTATTTTGTTTCCTCTGTCTGTACCGGTTTTCTTTTGTATGTATGTATGTATGTATGAATGTATGTATAATATGTATGTATGTATGAATGCATGTCTGTATATATGTATGTGTCTGCTTATTTATTTGTATATTCATGCTTTACTTATTTAGTGAAAATGACAGGTACATTTTCTAATTTCTTTCTTTCTCTTTTTGCTCCCTTTCTCCTTTTTTCTCCTTTAGTATCCAGTCTCCACTTCCAAGAAGTATCTACCAGCAGGACTTTACTGACAAACAAAAGGGGTGTAGTCAGTGTCGGGAAAATATAATTAAAAGTAAAATCTTCTCCCAACTCAGAAAACCTCTCTTCTCAAAGAAACAAATTTTAATTGAATAAGCATCAAGCCAGATATGTATCACAGGCAAGCTGATAAAGAGATTGCAAAGACAGAAAAAAATCTCACCCTTTTACATAGTCAAGCAGATACAACCCATTGCAGTGTATGTTCCCAAGATAAACAACAACCAATCCCGAAAAAGGGGACTTAACAGAGCTACTTGTCACACACAGTTTATCCTAGATCCACTTGGTAGTTGGGGTGGCAATCTGTGTTAGCTACATGGCTTTCTCCAAAGGAAAAATAAACTTCTCACATCTTAATGACAGGAAGTAGTTTGAGAGAAAGGCATCAGTCCCGCTAAAGGTAGACTACTACCCTCACACACAAACTGGGAAGTAAGGATGCTCTCTTCCTTGATAATTACATTTGAAAGACATGGTACTCTACCCAGGTTCTTGAAAATATATTTCTGGGTCCTAAAGCTGGTGAAAGGGCTATTTAGCTTCAAAAGAATTATAATACATTTTAAAGAGAGAAAGAATTTGCAAATACAAGTTTTCTAAAGTAAGTATTCTAGGTTAAGGGAGTGGGATGAAGTCTCTTATTTCCAACTGGGTTCTACCTTATTTTAAATTTGTAATTATCCTTAAAATAGCCAAATGCATCACACTAGAAGTCAGAAAATTAGGCGTCAGTTCTTGCTTTCTCACTCAGTGGCTGTTACTTAGCATTCTATGAACCTCAGTTTCTATCTATTAGGAATTTAGGCTAATAACCACTAATATCTTAGACCTTATGCATGATATGCCAACAGCATGAGGATCAACAGCAGTAGAGCTTGTTGGGTGAACAATCTCAGGTTCTCTTCTAATACTAAATCAATGTACATATTTTAATAGTACTTCTGTTGATTCAATGCATATTTAAGTCTCAGAACCATTAGTCTATGGTCACTGTTCTCAAAATGTGGTCTCAGGCCAGGAGTATCAGCACCATCTCAAGGAATTTATTATGAGTGAAAAATCTGAGCCTCACCCCAGATCTACGAAATTAGAAATCCTGGGTACAATGTTCAATAATTGTATAATTGTGTGTATGTACTAAAATAAGATTTATTGAAATAAAATTTACATATTGTAAAATTTATGCCTTCTAGAGGCAAAAATACATTAATTCTGACAGTCTTGTAACCATGACCACTATCAAGACACAAAACATTCCTATTACCCCTAAACTGTTCACCATTTCCCTTTATACTTAATTTCCTACTTAACCTCCAAACTTAACAATAACCAATTTATTTTATTTTTCTATAGTTTTGCTTTTCTTAATATCATAAATATAAAATCATGTAGACATTTGAATCCAACTTCTTTCTCTTAGTGTAATGCATTTGAAAATAATTAATGTGTATGGTTTATTACTACTTATTTATGAATTTTCCAATTATCTTCCTTACTGACTTCTAGCTATACAGAATTATGGTCAGAAATATAATTTAATATGATTTCAATCTTCTTAAATTTGTTTAGATTTGTTTTGTAGCCTGACTGATCTATTCTGGAGAGCATTCTGTGTGCACTTGAGAAGAATGTGTATTTGGTTGCTGCACAATGGGATATTTGTATGCATCTGTTCTTTCCTTTTAGCTTATCCAATAATGAAAGTGAAGTATTGAAGTCCTCTACTATTGTTGCATTGCTGTCTATTTCCCCCTTTAGTTGAGGGAGGCCAGTATTATTGTGATACAAAGCCAGAAAAGTATACTACAAGAAAATAAAATTACAAGCAAATATTCCTGTTGAACATAGATGAAAAATCCTCAACAAAATATTAGCAAACTAAATTCAGCAACACATTGGAAGGATCATACAGTATGATCAAGTAGGGCTTACCCCGGGGATACAAGGATGGTTTGATATATGCAAATCATTAAGCATGATACATTACATTAACAAAATGAAGAGTAAAAAGTCATATGACTATCTCAACAGATACAGAAAAATTTTGGGAATTTAACATCTTTTTCTGATTAAAAACTCTTAAATTAGGTATAGATGAAATATACCTCAAAGTTATAAAGTCAATATATGTGAAGTTTACATCTAAAATCACAGTGATGAAAAGATCAAAGCTTTTTATTATTCTAAAATCAGCAGTAAGTCAAGGATGCCTGTTCTCACCACTTCTCTCCAACCCAGTACTAGAAGTCCTAGCCAGAGCAATTAGATTATAGTCCTTCAAATCAGAAAGAAAAAAGTAAAATTATCTCTTTTTGCAGATGACATGATCTTATGATAGAAAACACTGAAGACTACACTTCCAAAGTGTTAGAGAAATAAATGAGTTCCATTAACTTACAAGATACAAAATCAACATACAAAAATCAGTT